GTAAAAAAAAAATACTAGTGTTGATAAGAATATGAAACAATTGGAATTCTCCACATCTCTTACTCTAAACCTTGGAAAATTGTTTGGGAGTATTTACTAAAGTTGAACAAAGGTATGCCCTATATTGGAGCAATTCCATTCTTAGACATATATACCCAGCACACATGTATTTATAGGTTAACTAAAAGGCATATGAAATATTCATAGAAGCATTTTCATAACAATCAACAACTCGAAAAAAACACCTCTATCAACACTAGATACATTGCAGTATAATTATTCTCTTTTATATTAAGCAGCAATAATAATTAACAAACTACTTCTCTATATAATATGGAAGATTTTAACAAATGTCATGTTGTGTAAAACAAATTAAACACAAAAGAAAACATATTCAGTGATTCTATTTGTATAAATTAAAACAAAGGCAAAAGATAATAAAGTAATAAAAGTGAGAATATTGGTCATATTTGGGGAAGAGAATAAGGTAATAAATGGGTGAGGTCAAAGAAAAGCTTCTAAGGTGCATTTTCTGTTTGTAAAATTTCTTCTATATTTACTTTGTGATAGTTCATGAGGGGTGCCCTTGGAACTGTGCATTTATTTCTGCATGAGTGTTTTAACTCAATAAATTTTTCATTAAAAATATGGCCTGAGAAAAATGGTATCACCTGATAACAGGCTATCTTTATTTAAATCATATTTCTACCTTTTACTAATGTATAAAATATATTTCAAAATTAATTTGGTAGCTTCGTAACAATTAACAACTAATATATTTTCATAAACATACGGAAACTTTTGAAGAACGTACTGGTGTGGAGAAGATCCACCTGTGCAAGATCAATGCAAATGCCATAAAGGGAAGATCACTCTCTCTCTCAACTATTTGGAAGAAATTGGAGGGTTGGTAAAATCAAATATCAATAACAGATTTGGAAAATATTTTCTATATAACTATAATGAATTAAAAACTATACTGGACAGGAGCTTCTATAAATCAATAGATTAAATAATTGTTATGAGTTGAATTGTTCCCCCCCTCCCTGCCAAATTCTTATATTGAATTCCTAATCTACAGTACCTTAGATATAACATTTGGAGATGGGTGTTTATAGAAGCCATTAAGTTAAAATGAGGTCATTAGAGTGGGCTGTAAACCAATACAACTGGTGTCCTTATAAAAAGGGGAACCTAGTCACAAAGTCACACATAGAAGACAATATAAGGAGACATGGGGACATCTGCGAGCCAGGACAGATCCTTCCCCCACAGTCCTCTTAAAGAATCAACTCTATCAGCAACTTCATTTTGTATTTCTAGTCTCTAGAATTGTAAGTCAAAAAATTTCTATTTTTTGAGCCACCTATTCTGTGATTACCTTGTTACAGAAGCCCCAAGCGAACTAATAAAAAATTAACTCAAAATATAAATGGGTGAAAGGGCATCATATGCAGTTAATTCATAAAGGAAGAAATATAAGTAATGATTAAAGTTATGAAAACAGAATTAATCATTCTAATAAAGTGCTTGGAAATTACATCAGAAAGAAGGTATCATTTTCCACTCATACCATTAACAAATACAAAATAAAAGAGGGAGACGATTTCCAGTTCAGACAAATCTGTTGAGAAGAATATCAGAATATACTGATGATAGAAGAATAGACTAGAATAGCTTATAGGAAGGCAACTAACATCTTTCAAAATTAACATGTTAAGTTTGGAGTGAAATATTTCCACTTCTAGGAAATATTCAGGAAAATGTCTTTGTATCCACATATATGGATTAAGAGAGAAAGAGAAATTGAAAACACCCTAAGTGTTTAGGAGTAATATATATGAAAGTACATACATATTGGATTTTACTATGTATAGACATGAAAAGAGCTCCAAGATGTACAGGCTAGTTGCAGAATATGACTATATGAGGATTATATATATATATGAAATGTATGTTATGGGAAAATAATAACATGTATTGAAAGATGAATATGCACTAATTTGTGAATACAAGAAAATCTGATAAAACACTAACCAATGCTTCCACTAAGTTTACTTCTACAGAACAACCTGGTTTCCCTTTTTATAAGGACCTTAAATGATTGCATTTAGAGTGATGCTATTAATTAGCACACATGGCTATATTATCTTGGTAAATTATATCCTCAGTGTATTTACCAGAAAATAGAGGGATTTAAATTCATTCTTCTTTCCTCATGAGGTTACTTGAAGGCCAAATATGATAATAGAATTAAAAGATAATTATAAATAATAAAAAAGGAAATGCTATTTATAATTTTATTTAATAAAAATAATAAATGGCAAATAAATCCAAAACTTATATATGTAACAGTGAAGGAAGAAGTAACACAAAATAAGTTCTGTGATGGGTACAGTGAACATTTAATTGTGATAAACTCCTAGCCAAGTCAGTTTGTTCTTACAGTGTAATGGCTAAGACACTGGACTCTGGAGGGTGACTGATATAGAAATATGTTCTTGGAAGTTACTATTCCTGGTACTCAATTTTTTCCACTGCAGAATGGGGTCAGCACTAGTACTGATCTTGTAGAGTTGTTTGAAGATTAGTGAGTAAATATATATAACACCATCTTGCATGTAATGCAATGTCAATGCATGTTATCTAACATTGTGGTATATTATGGTTACTTAAGATAATTTTGGAGATGTGTCTATTGTCATATTCAGGAGAAACAAAATGGGGCATGAAGTAAAGTTGTATAAGTAAAATTAGATGAAAACGAACCTTACCATTCATTATTTGACTTTGCTTGTGAGACTGAAAGAGAATCTGAGGCATCAATAACTGTCTGATTACTAGCTGATTACTGTTCATTAGTGAAAATCTCAAGGCCAGGGAGAAATATTAAGGCACATAGCAGTGGGGCATTCCAATTTTCCTCAAACAAGAAGAATGTGAAGAGTGCTAGAGAACTACATTTAAAAAATGAGAAAAAGCAAAGAATTGTAATAGAAAACTATTGTAGATGATACACATTTATTAATCATCACTAAGGCCATTGGTCGACCCAGTTTCTTTATAATTCTGTAAAAAGACTGAAAATTTATCAGATTTATCAGTAATAAAATTTTTACATATTTTTAAAATTAATTATCTACTATGGGTTCAAAGCTTTGTATAAGTTGCTCCATTTAACACAACAATCTTGGCGAGGTCAGTGTTAGTATTGCATTTTACAGATAAAGTAAAGATGAGAGAGTTTAAGTCATTTTCCTGCAAGTTTCAATTTTAAACTTGCCAACTTTCATTAAAAAAAACAGTTCATCCTATGTCTTCTTTCTCAGGAAAAGGCTGTGTCCAACAGTCGTCTAAGCCAGAAACACGGCAACATTAAATAACTAATGCTCATAACACACAGACAAAATATTTTTAAAATTATATATCATTGATTCAATTTTGCATGTTTTGCTGAAATCAATTCAAGCTTCCTTGTCTTCTCTGCGTCTAATCTAATTTATGCAGCCTCAATATTTTCCCTGGATTATTGCCTGGTTAACTTCCTTAATAGCCTCCCTTTTTTCCAGATTTTACCCTCTTCCAATTCAGTCCCCAGTTTTTAGGTAGGAAAATATTTTCAAGACGTAAATCATACAAGTCACTCCCTGTTTAAAACCTTCAATTACCTCCCCTTGTTTTCAAAACAATACACAGACTCTTACCATCACTTAAAAATCTTACATAATTTTATTTATGCTTTCCACATTTTCATTTCAAAAGCAAACCCTCGCTGCCCAATTAAAACTATAAACTGCCTGATATTTACATATGCTTTCCCCTTTGATATAGCTAATTTCTACTTATCTTTCAAAGAGCCCCTTATATATATTTTATGTTACTTTCTCCAGGAAATTTTTCCTGGATTAGCGACTTTCCTATATGCTTATTCCAATTAATCATTTTAACCTTTCTCTGTCAGTTACAATTCTACGCTATACTGGCAATTATCTGTTTCCTTGTCTACATTCACCCCCCTACAACAGTCACACCATAACATACATAAACACACACACACGTGCGCACACGTACACACACACACACACACACTTGATCATTCCTTGAATAGGATTTTAGGGTAGTAGTAAAAATCTCTCTGAGCCCATTTCTTTTACATTTGCAAAAAGAGAAGTACAATACCTGTCTTACCTTCTTGCAAAGATCAAATGAGAAAAATGGAAAAATATGTATATATATTATATACTGTTATAGAGGAGGGATGAGTGAACACATATATAAATATGTGTATATATATATGTATATACATATATATATATACATATATATATATATATACACACACACAGATATATATATATGTATGGTACTTAGAGAAACAAGTCTTTCATGGTAATTGTTAACAAGTCTTTTCAAATTTAACCATATTTATTGACTGATTTTCTTAGATATTTTATTTTCTCCAATAC